CATTAACTGAACGTGATTACTTTATTGTTTGAAATAGTAAAATATTTTCTGTAATCTATATTAAGAAAAGGCTCTTCTGGTACTATGTAGTCATGCAATTAAAGGCAACATAGTCATAAAAAATCCCATTACTCCTAGGTCTAGGTCATGTTTCACATCCCTTCTATTTCTCAACCTGAGCAACTTCAAGATGTATGGACTTCAATTCCCAGAATTCCCCAGCCAGAATTTATGGGAATTCTGGGAGTTGAGGTCCATACATTTTAAAGTTGATCAGGTTTTTTTGTTTTGTTTTGTTTTTTAAGAAAAACGCCACATTAAACAATGTCTTCTTGTTGGACCAAGGCTTTTCCCCTTATCTTGGCAGAGCCAGTACTCTGGAATATCCTCCTCCTAGGGAACTGGGTCATTTGGAACCTATTAGCTTTTTATAAGGCTCCTAGGTTTCCTTAGAAGTTTGGACAACTCGGCTAAGAATAGGATTTTGGGATTGGAATGTATCATTTATATTGGGCATCACAGACTATAGTTTTTAAATGTTGAGTTTTTAATTCAATGCCACCCAGAGTCATTTCTGTGAGACTGGCAGCCATATACATTATATACATAAATTTAGAATAAATAAGTAGACAAATAAAATTATGTTTATGTTAATTTCTGAATACTAGCATTTTAATATTAGCATTTTCTTTAAATTCACCATTTTACTACTATCCTGTAGTAGTAAGTCTGGAAGGGCTTACTTTCAACGCTGTGTAAATTTACCATTTTTGTCATACAATAAAAATGCAAAGTACTAAGTAAATAGAAAATGTTTGTGGAATACAGTTTGCTACAGTAAAGCATGGTGGATATTTGGCCTAAAGTTATGATGCAAACTGCTCTTACTTACAATTTTCTGTGATGAAGTATTAGCAAATAACTGCACAGATGGTTTTACCCTAAGATTAGGCCTCACATGCCAGACGTGATCAGGAAAACTGTCATTTTAAAAATAACTTTCAAACAAATGCCAAGTGTTGAGTGATGCATATGTCTAATAAACAGCTAGAAACATAGCAATGCCCAGGGCTGGAACTTAGTCCTGGAAGTGAAATATGGCCATGGAATTATCGCCTAGATTCAGCCAACAATGGCGGCATGCCATCACCATTTTTCTAAGTAACCAGGGATAAGCCTCCAATTTTGGGGTGTATGTGTGTGGGGGAGGAGGGAGGGAGAGAGAGAGAGAGAGAGAGAAGTCAAACTGTGTGTGTATGTATGTATGTATGTATGCATGTATGTACCAAAAATACTATCCAAGCTTATGTACATAGAATATTGCTAAAGAGTTGGTATTGGATGAGAATGATGTTTGTTAGTTTCAGCTTTCTACCCTGCTGTTCATATCTGCTCCAGATTAATTTGCAAACAGTAATATTAACAAGAATAACTCAATAAAAATGCCAAATTTAATTTAAACATTTGGCTGACTGTGATATGAACCACAATAATAATAACTGGGGTGGTAATTGCTGCAGTCCAACAGCATCCAGTTGAAAACAAGCTCTTTCTACACTTGAACAGAAAGGAAATTGCTCAACAGCAGAAGAACAAAATATCAGCTCCTAATTGACAAGATGATTTTGGAATACTGCAAAAGAAGGAAGACCAACTTGAACATAGCTTGGATTAATTAAATGAAGGCACTTGACTCCCTGCCACATGCTGCTGTCTCTGTCCTCTCATGATGCCTGGAGGTTGTAGGGATGTAGATGAGAGACAACAGATTTAGACTGATTGGCTTTGGGTGCATGGAACCTCAGAATCCGAATGTTTCTCATTTTTAGTTCTGGATGGGGTTGCACTACCCTGTTCAAACCCAGTTTGCAACCTACAGGTTCTCCTGACTCACATTATCTTACTCAAAGAGCAGGTGGCAGGCATGATCAGGAGAGCTTTTCCATGGCTCCTATTGTACACCTGGAACATGACTTCATGGGCTCAGTTACTCAAGCCCTGGTCACATCTCTCCTGGACTATTGCAATGCAATCTACAAGTACATGGGGCTACACTTGAAGTCCATTTGGATGCTTCAGCTAGTGCAAAGGGCAGGAACAAGAGCAGTCTTTGGGGCCCTAGAATGGCCTGTATTATACTTCTGCTCTGCAAACTTCACTGGCTACCAGTGCCCTTCCAAGTGCAGTTCAAGATGTTGGTTATGACTCTTAAAGCCCATGATGGCATCGGGCCAGGCTACCTGATGAACCACTTGTCCTGCCAGGACAAGCCCATCCTACTCATGCTGGCAGAGAGGGCCTTCTTCAGATCCTGTCGATTAAAGAACTCTGACTATCAGGATCCAGAAGAAGACCCATTTCTGTGATAGTACCCACTGTTTTTTGGGGGGAAGAAAAATACATATTTACTCAACTCCATTTTTACACATGTCTGAAACAGAATCAATAGGGAGTTTTTAACTTTATCTCAGGAACTCTATTTTCTTCACTGCAATGCTCTAAAAATAATGAGGGTTGTCAAAACTGGACTTTTCTTCATTATTTACCAGTTTCCTTCGGTGTAAAGGTAGCACTCAAGTTACAATCATTCATTCAGCGACCATTTGAAGTTATAACAGCATTGAAAAATGTGATTTGTGACCAGTCCTTGCACATATAACTGCTGCAGCATGCCCATTGTCACATAATCAGAATTCAGGTGCTAGGCAACTGGCATGTATTCACAACAGTTGAAATATTCCAGGGTCATGTGGTCACTATTTACGACATTTCCAGCTGGGTTCCAACAAGCAAAGTCAGTGGGGAAAATTCAGATTTGCCTAACAACTGCCTGATTCACTTAACTGCAGTGATTTACTTAACAATCATGGCAAAAAGGTCATAAAATCAGGTTCAACTTATTTTAACTGCCTTGCTTAATAACAAAAAATCTGGTCTAAATTATGGTCATAAGTCAAGGATTACCTATACCACAGTCCCATCCCCATCCTGGTAAAATAAAGTATGAGATTGTATAATGGCTACTCAGTTGAGATATCCAGCTTTAACTAACTGAACAATCATTGCAAGGACTGTCTCCTTCTCTAGGATTTTTTCTTCTTCTTGTATCTTAAGTGTTGTATAGTTAAACATTTTTTGTAGAGATATTTATATGACTGGGATGCATCTTCCTATAAGTTTATTTATTGCACATTATCTTGAACTTGTGAGATTCACCAGCTTAGAGAAGTCCAAGCAGAGTTCTAAAATTATGGAATTCCATAATAAAATCACCCAATTCATTGGACGGTGTCCTGATTAATAAATATTTTCCCATTGAATAAAATAGCGAATGTGAGCAAAGAAAAAAGAAAAAAACCTATGACTTCATCTACAAAAATTCTCATTAGTCAAGCAGGAAGTTGCAACAAACACATCAGAGAGCTAGGGATTGTTGATACATCCGTTGTCTTGCCTGTCATACACTCTATTTAACCAACTGAAAGTAAATGTCAATTCTTAAAAATAAATGTCAACTCCAGTCAGAATTGAAGAAGCTTCTTGAATGAGAAGTGAAAGTGAATGAGAAGTCTTCAAAGAAAAATAAAAAAATCCAGTTGCCTCTTGATAAGGCCCCTTTGGGTCAATTCTTAATAGAACCATTTTTTCCTAACTACTTCAACTGAATGTCAAACAACATGAAAATATACATGAGGTTACTTTAATTAAGAGTAAGCACTACTAATAATGCCTTCATTTTCTCTTAAAATGCAAGTGATCAAACTACGTATGATGATCATACAATGCTTGTAATCTGTCACCTATTTGAATACTTTCTTTGACCCTGCACTTTTATTTGGAGAAGGCTATCCTAAGACAGGTGATCCTTGTTTAACAACCACTCCTTTAGTGACCATTTAAACTTATGATGGGACTGAATGAATAGTACTCATGACCACTTCTCAAAGTTCTAACCATCGCAGTGACAGGATTGCAATCCGAGCACTGACACTGGGCTTGTCTTTACAACACTGGAGTGTCCTGCAGACACATGATCACTATTTGCAACTTCTTTGCCAGTTTCCTACAAGCATAGCCAATGAGGAACTATAAACAGTGACCAGCTAACATTTTCATTTAACAACCTGTGGTGATTACCTTAACAATAGCAACTGTTGTGCAGGCATGAAATTATGCTTTATGACCCATTGCTTACCAAAGGAAATTCCAGTGCCAATTACTGTGGTTAAGTGAGGTTTACCTGAAATATTTTTGTTCAGTTAAAACTCAGTATCTACAGTATTTCCTTGTGTCACAAGGTGGCTTACAATGGTAAAACCCTGTGCAATTAAATTATATATATACATATACATACACACACACACACACACACACACACACACACATACGTGGAGGAGGATATTTAGGAGGAAAAAGGAATATCTGTAGTTTTGTTATGCACAAAACTTAATACTGAATACCATTTATTTTGCAGCATCTTGTCCTTTCCTTATTGGAATGAAAGCTTTAAAGCAGAGGTCTCCAAACTTGGCAACTTTAAGACTTGTGGGCTTCAAGTTGAAGTCCACAAGTCTTAAAGTTGCCAAGTTTTTTTGGGGGGGGGGGGGTTGTTTTAAAGAACGATAAGAACAGCTTCCATTCACTTGTGACTTTAACACACTAGTTTTTCCAAAGACAGAGTTGTACATCTGTGGAGACGTTGCTGGCAACTGTCAAAATCTTCCTCCTTTTCCCCTTTCCCTGCCCCCTTCCATTCCAAACACAAGAATGTGGTTCTCTCACTCTTGTAGGCTGTCACCTGTCTAAATCTGTCCTTGTGTCAGAGGCATATATGGAGAAAGTGAGTCTGGCAGCCAATTGAGTCCTGCTTCTAAAATAAACTCCGCTCCTTTTGCTCTCCATTAAAACAATGTCCTCCAGGGAAAGCTTTTCAAAGGACATTTGATCTTGCTAGCTTTGGAATTCTTTTGAGCGACCTAACCCGGAAGCACCCTGATTCTGAGCCTGTGCGCCTTGCAATCGGCAGGAGATGAGCGCCACTCTGAATTATAAGTCTTTTTCTAAAGAGCAGCAAACTATGGATAACTTGGAGAAGCAGCTTATTTGTCCCATCTGTTTAGAAATGTTTACTAAGCCAGTGGTTATCCTTCCATGTCAGCACAACCTCTGTAGAAAATGTGCCAGCGATATCTTCCAGGTATGTTGATTTAAACATTTACGCCTCCAATTAACATTATATCTAGCTTAGTGATCTCATACTACAAAACCAGGAGAATATTACAGTGTTGATTTAATTACCAGGATTTTATTTAAATAAGGAGAAAATTAATTAGAGGAAAAGTTGTTTGTTATTTATCTTATGTGTGATTTTGGATCCCTTGCATTTGGAAATGTCCCTTTTATTTATAGGAACTGAACTGTTATTTCAAGTATTTAGAGCTATTAACACTTAAACTCATTCCTGTTGTTCCTCAACACCTCTAAAAATGGCAAATTTCTCTCTAGCTTACTTTGCATATTATTAGCTTCCAAGCATTGAACAAAATGATACTGAAACTTATTTATCTTTTTTTCTACTTTTTTGAGATTTGATCTCATGTGAAGTCCACTAATACCATAACAGTGACTACATTAAACCATTAGATCATACCTTAAGTAGATGGTCTGATAGGCATCTTGTGATGTGCAGAATGATTGAGAAATAATATACAATTAGCTTTACAATTTCGTTTCACTGCTTGGCAAGAACAGGCCTCCAATCCATATCTACCAATCAGAGGAGGTACCACTGTGGCTTCAGGAGGTCGATTTCGCTGCCCCTCCTGTAGACATGAAGTAGTTCTTGACAGGCATGGAGTGTATGGCCTTCAAAGAAACCTGCTGGTGGAAAATATAATTGATATATACAAACAGGAATCTTCCAGGTAATTAACCATTTCTATCTTTGAAAGATCATTTAACAATCCCGTTTAACTTAGTGATGTTTGCCTTTGAAATACATGGAATTAGATTTCTCAAGAGTCAAAAGCAGAGAATTCTGGAAAATTCAGGCCTGGGAGTTTTAATGCTAAGCAGTTATAAAGGGAAACTTGAAATAACTATGAACAGCAGTCTTCATCAGGTCTTTCTAATTGCCCAAGAAGTAATTCTAGACACTAAGGTTTTTTTGCTATTGTTATGTGTCCTATAGGCCTATCTTGCCGAGCACTACTTTTTAGGGGGTCCTTTTAAAAAGCTAAAAATTAATAGCAGCAAAAAGAGGCCTAATGCCTGCTTCTGTGCTCTTCTTTTTTCCACTTCTTGGCATCTACCTGACCCCACAAATTGCTTATGTTTCGGCTACAAGCAGAGGTGGTATTCAGCAGGTTCTAACCAGTTCTGTAGAACAGGTAGCAGAAATTTTGAGTCGTTCGGAGAACTGGTGGTAATCTTCCCCCTGGAATGGGGTGGGAATGGAGATTTTGCAGTATCTTTCCCCTGCCACTCCCACCAAGCCACACCCACCAAGCCATGCCATGCCCACCAAGCCACACCCACGGAACCGGTAGTAAAAAAAAATTAATCCCACCACTGGCTACAAGCCTATCTCTTGTGTTGATCAAGAAGCTTAAAACACAATTTGACTCATGCCAAATTTTCACAAATGGGAGAAAATACCCTAAATATATGTCTGAAGTTTAGCAACTTTAGGAAGGGGTTCCAAAGGTAAATACCTTATTTCAGCAGTTTGTTATATACACTAGACTTTTTTGTCCAGGTCAAGACTATTAGACAGCAATAATATTTCGACAACTGTAATAATAATACTTGGAATTATGCTATACTACTGTATGGGAATTTTAAAAGACGCATGCAGACATTCAGCATTGAGAAAGGGGAGGGGAGGGGAAAGGAGAGTGGAATTAGAGAGTGGAGGAGTCAATATAAAATAGGATTTAAGGATGTTGTCTCCTTGTTTAACAACTACATAAAGATCATTATTATTGATATTAGTCTTTTATATGAGTCTTTACTTTATTCTGCTGTATTACTAGCCTGGGTCTCAGTTTGTAAAGAACTTAAGGTCACTTTTCTTCAGACATTTTAATCAGGGTAGTTTGATATCTATTCCTTGAGTTTAAGATCAAGAAAAATTCCTTGTGCTTTCAAAAATGGCTCATTATATGAATGGTATGTATCAAATTAGACCGTGCGACCCAAGACAATTATATAAGATTCAATAGTAAATTGGTCATGCTGATTTCTTTCTTTGAAGTTTAAATCAAATATGTAATAATTTATAAACATAGTAATATTTATGGTTGTATATTACTGTTCTAATTAATTCAAAGCAATATAATAGATATTATATGAAAGACTTATTCTGAAAAATGGCTATCATGAAAACAAGGTCCACTGATTCTTCAGCAAAAAATTATCTTTGTGCTTTTATTAACTACATTATAAAAATGACTTATTCAAATGAGTCGCAATGTTGCAAATGATGAAAGTCCACAAAATTAAACAATTTGCTTAATTTCACAACATGTATTGTGGGTCTTGCTTTTAGGACAGTTTGTTTAATACGAATGTCTAATAGACTCTGTATACTAAGGAGATGTGGTAGAATGTAGTCTGGATTCCCAGGAGAGAGGAGTTGAGAGAAAGAAAGTAAGGCAGCTCCGCCCTAGCAATTCTCAGAGTATATCTTTAATGATGTGAGTAGTTGCTTTGGTTTAGCAAGATTTCTGTCTGTAGGTGAGGAACAATAAAAGAAACTGTTTAAAACAGACTTGGGCATTTTATGGCCTATGGACCACATCTGGCAGTTGGTAATGGCTCAGGGAGATGGTCACTGACCAGATACTACTGTATTCTTTGTATTCTACTATTAATCTGACAGAAAGAAATATTGTGATGTCTGATTGGTTTATGGCATCCCATATCTTTGTCTGAATTTGACTTCTTCCCCTGTTGAGATAATGCTTTGTGACTGATGGAGAATGAGGTGGAACCCAGAGGTGGTATTCAGCAGGTTCTGACCAGTTCTGGAGAACCAGTAGTGGAAATTTTGAGTAGTTCGGAGAATTGGCAAATACCACCCTTGACTGGAGATTTTACAGTATCCTTCCCCTGCCACGCCCACCAAGTCACGCCCACAGAACCGGTAGTAAAAATTCCCACCACTGGGAACTGCTCCTGGTATGGGAGTGCTGCTGGTATGGGAGTGGCCTTAGACTTCCCTTAGGTAGAAGATGCTTTAAGTTACTTCCCACAACTGGGCATAAAAAATGTTTTATATTGGTGCTTTAGCATAAGGAGGCAAATTATTTGGGATATTTGCCAAGTAACATTTACAGAAAACAGCCTTTTAACTTTTCATAGAGGCCTTTCCAAATATTCATGTCCTTTCCATTTTTCGCTCCATTACAGGATAGCTTGTTTTAAATACATTATTTGTGGCATTTTTCAACCCACAAGTCTTTTATATTTTTAATGAGAAACAATTCCTTTAGATCAGTGGGACTTTCTCCTTTATCCCCAGAAATCTTTTCATTCTCAGGGCCTTTATTTCCTTATATTGCATCCTGTTCTATTGGGGAGAGACCAATTGTTCAATAGGAAGCATACACTTGCATGCAGGTTGTCACAGATTCACTTCCTAACATCTTCATTGAAAAGAATCCGTTGGGTAAAACTGTTTAGTGGTGGTTAAGGTGCTGGCCTAGAAACCAGGAGACTGTGAGTTCTAGAGTCTAGACCAGGGGTGTCCAACCTTGGCAACTTTAAGACTTGTGGACTTCAACTCCCAGAATTCCTCAGCCAGCTGTGCTGGCTGAGGAATTCTGGGAGTTGAAGTCCACAAGTCTTAAAGTTGCCAAGGTTGGACACCCCTGGTCTAGACCTTTCTTAGACATGAAAGCTGGCTAGGTAATGTTGGGCTTGTCATTCTCTCTCTCTCAGCTCAACACACCTCACAGGGTTGTTGTTGTAGGGTAAATAAGAGGAGGAAGGAATATTATATATGATTGCCATCTTGAGTTATTATTAATGTAACAAAAACAGAATTAATACCTAATTAATAAATAAAATAATAGGAATTTGTTTGCTTCCCCTATGATGCCAGAGACCTGCTATCAGTCTCATAGTTACCTTCCAAATAGAGAAATATTCTTATCTGCCTCTTTGATTTGATCTTTAGTTTTTTAATCGTTTTGGTTTGGATTTGCTTTTTTCTCCTAAAGTAATTCCATTCACAGGCCTGAAAGAAAAACTGAGCAGCCAATGTGTGAAGAACATGAAGATGAGAAAATTAATATTTATTGCCTGAATTGTGAAGTGCCCACCTGTTCCATGTGCAAAGTTTTTGGTGCTCATAAAGACTGTCAGGTTGCTCCCCTCTCGAATGTGTACCAAAGGCAGAAGGTAAAAAAAAAAAATATTCTTTTTTTAATGGCTTTTCATTTAGAGTATAACTCTCCTGTTTATAAAATTAAGTTATAAGAATGCATTACTGAAAGTACATAATTATTTTCTACTGAAGTTATCTTGTTTGGAACTTAGGTCCTTGAAGGGTTTTTAAAAATCTACTCAATCTGTTGCTCCAGCTGGCAGGCACACAATTACAATTAATGTGAAATATTTGAGCCTATGCTGCCATTCCAAATATGGTGCCTTGAAGCGGTAATGGACTGAAACTCTCAATGTCACAAATAATCATGATGGAGAAAAAGTGAAATTTTGTTTGAGGAATTTCCAAATTAATTCAATTTTTTGCCAGAACAACCACTATATGTTATTGGTGTACAGATCTCCCATGCCACATAATCAATCCGAGTGGTTACTGGAGAAATGGTCTAATTTCATGGCTTCCAAATTGGTCTGGTATCATAGAAGCATTTCTTTTTGTTTTTCACATAGTTGCCATCATGTATTGAGCATCCTTATAATAAATACCGAATTTCTTCCGTCTTTGTTCCCTATGAAATGAAACTCCTAATATAAATTTCATTTCCATATTAAATGCAACGCACCATAAGCATAAATTCTTAACCCTAGCAGCACCAAAATGATGAAATATGTATCATAACATCAAGAAGGAGACAGTGTCACAATGTTATGCCATACATTTTACCACTTTTCCCAACTATACATCCCTTCCAATGACATGTCTATACAGCCCACAACAAAATATCTTCTGGAGAGTTCTTCAGATGGCCAAAATCTGCAATATGGTGGGCACAGCATTGCAATCAAAACTTGCCCCATTTCCAGCAGCTCTGAATTTGTATACAAAAAAGGCAGGGCTTCTATACCACACCCACCAATTTGCAACATACCCAAAAGATGCACACAACCCCTCCATGTTAGCCTCACTTGGAGTGATTGGAACTCTTGTCTGACAAACAAAGCTACTCACGTAACTCTGAAGCAGCAAACATGTTCCTTCCAGATAGGCAACAAACGGTGATTCCAGTTAAAGCCAGTGAGTTTCCCTGACATTTCAGACTAACATAGTCTGCATCAGTGGAACTCCTTTTTATCTTTTCACAATGTTCCTAAATGTGACATGAAAGCAGTATAAATAGTAGAATGCAGATGTTTTAAATTTTTCACTGATAGCTTCAAGTGCTAGCAATATACATGGAGTAGTCTCAGTCTTCATCCGATTGAAGTCTGGGTGCCACACAGAGGTGGCATTCAGCAGGTTTTGACCAGTTCTGGAAAACCAGTAGCGGAAATTTTGAGTAGTTTGGAGAACCGGCAAATACCACCTCTGACTGGTCCCGCCTCCATCTGTTCTCTGCCTCCCAAGTCCCAGATGATCGGCTGGGTCTTCTTTTATTGCCCTTCACAATAGAACAGAGCTGTAAAGCAGGTTAGTGGGGTGGGGAGGGAATGGGATTTTGCAGTATTCTTCCCCTGCCATGCCCACCAAGCCATGCCCACAGAACCGGTAGTAAAAAAATTTGAATCCCATCACTGGAGCCACAGGGCAAGCTGAAATACTTGTTCCACCCACTGTCAGCCGGTTGCTGTTGGCCACTGTCCTTCTAATTATATTTGATTACTGTTGTTTTTCTTCTACTCTGAAATATTACTAGTCTGAATCTAGCAATTCTTTAAAAAGTTATATACAAACATTTTCAGTCTTTGATATCAGATTCTGGCTATTATTCTGAAGATGCTTCTATCTGCAAACCAATATATTTCTGTCTGTCTGTCTGTCTGTTATTGTTGTTTAGTTATTAAGATTTTTTATTTTGCCAATAATTTATTGGACATGGGATAGAAAAGTTCAGTAATGCTCCCAGAATCCTTTGCTGCCATCTGTTAAAGGTCTATTTATTTTTAACACAGCATTCATGAAACAGCTGTTTATATGGAATATCCTCATGAGAAATGCAACACAATTTCTTGAAAGCCTTGCTGAGGCTGCCATGATAAAGAGCCAGTTTATAAGCAGAGCTTTTAGAAGAAGAAGCCCATTATTATATTTATCAATATTAAAGCTGTACATGTGTACTGATAAACATTATGTTCTCCTATTCTGAAATAACACATGAAAAATAGTGCTTAGAAAAAGTATCCAAATAGAAAGTGTTATACTTATGCATATCAATCACTAGATTTCCTGTCACAAGTGACAATTAATATTTCTGTATTGTGAATATATAGACGCTATTCTTATTGTATGTTTATAGTAAAAGATACTGTTGTATGTTCTAAAAATCACAGGACACAATATGAAAAGATGAAAAGGACAGAATAATTAACATGAAACTGTCTAAAATATTTTAGTTGGAGAATTAAATCATGCAAATCAGATTTCAATATGAAAAGAAAAAACCTCAGTTAAATAAAATTGTTATAATAACTTCATATTTTGCAAAAGTATTATATTCAGCAATTTTATTAATGAGGAATTTTGAAAATTAGGTTGCATCTCCTTAGTAACTAAACATAATATATACTTTTTCAATACCCTTTTAGGAAAGTTTTAATGATTATAGAATTTAAAAAATTAGATTAGTACCATGCTTTATATCTTCTCAAAGCACCACATATGTTTATTTTATTTCGCAGTCTGAACTTAGTGATGGGATCGCTGTGCTCGTGGGAAGTAATGACAGAGTACAAGGAATTGTAACTCAGCTGGAGGAAACCTGCAGAACAGTTGAAGTAAGCAAACACTATTTAATACAATTAAACCAAATTATTATTATTATTATTATTATTATTATTATTATTATTATTATTAT